ATTTTAAAAATTATTGATCGCCTTAACAAATCGAATAATTGCAATAAAAATTGCCTTCAGAATTTTCAAATCGTGAAAAAACTATTTATTTATTTTTATCCCTCTGGCTCCTGAATTCCAAATTCAATGAGAAATTGTGTGTAACTTGTACCTAGATCCTAACTCTCTGAATATATACAAAGAACATATTTTCCCATTTTTCTTGTTTTGTAGATGATAAAACATAAAATAAAGACGTAGGTACCATCATAGTCATAAAACAGTAGTGATCTAATGTGAGTCTGTTATTTTATTAGTTTTTAACAATAAACTTAAAATTTAACATTTGTTAAGTTCGTGCTCTAAATTGATCGTCATATAAAGATAAAATGAAGGTAAATAATTGATATATATTTAGTTTAATATATTTTTTAATATTTTTTTATTCAATTATTAAAATATAATAAATTACAGTTAATTCAATTAATTCTTGTATATTATATACATAATTATATTTTTAAATTTATTTATTTTTAATTTTAAATTAAAAAATAACTTTTTTTAAAAAATATACTGTATAATATATTAAATTAAAATTTGTACTAATGACTATCTTAAAATCAAATATATATTAAATGAAAGAATATATACTATGAATAAAAAAAAAGAGGAAGTAAAGATACTAGTAGACAAATTTTACAAAATAATAAACAATTTTTATTCAATTAATTTTTACTCTTCCCCATATCATATTATCTTTACTTTCCCTATCTTTTTCGTTATTATTATTAAAAGTGATCTCCTACAACACAAATGCTAGAAAATGATTAAAATGGTAAAAAATAAATGAGAATAAAAGTGATAAAACTAGAACATAAGGGACCAAATTGAATTTTTTTACAAAAGTTTAGGGGGGTCTGTGCCTTATTAGGCCCCGTAGGCTCCACCTCCTGAATCCTGATAGCCATCGTAGGATGTTCTAGGGATAACATGTTCCATTTTAGTTCCATCTTTCTAAACATTTGGCTAATTACATCACTTAAAAAAGGGATAAATCGTTGAAACTGAGAAAAATAACATTTAAAATTTTATCAGATCAAGATCAATGTTTTTTTTTTTTTTTTTCATTTGAGTGATTTTCCCAAAACCTTATGTCAACTACACTTTCTTTCTTCTTCTAAAAGAGTCAATATGACCAGCGAATAACATGTGTCCCAGTGATATATTTCATTTTAAAAATGTGATGTTTATCTTTCGTTTCAACACGCAAATAAGATCAGCAAAGAGGGATAGAGATTTACATAGACTGAAGTGTAATCAAAGGACAAAAACTGGTATATTTTTTGGTTTAATATCTTTTGCTTTAATACTTTACGGTTCAGCACACTTCACAGTATTTTTATTAAAGTATTATTATTTTTAAATTTAAATTTAAGGTGAATAAATTTTATCTGCAAAATTTAATGCCTGAACTATTGAATGCAATAAATCTATTGAATTAAAAGATGTATCAATAATTTTTTGCAACCCAAAATAAAAACTAACTAATTATATGGAAAGGCAAATGGGATTGTACCATAACAAAAAGGCAAAATTTTATCTTAATCTCAAACAAATCCTATTTTTCATATATACCCCCTGAATCAAACCTAAAGTAAATAACCTTCTAACAATGGTTGTCAAAATCAAGTTTTAAATCGTAAAATTGTACGATTTTACGATTTTAGGTATGTATTTTGAGTAAAATCTATGTTAAAATCGGAATCTCATGAAATCGAAGGGAAAAATCATAAAATCGCAATTTTATGGTAAAATTGTTTGAAATCTCGATTTTACATGGAGTGAAAGAATCACCCTGATGGTTGGTCGGTTGCTATGAGATGGAGGAGATCACTGGCGACTGTTGTCAGGCGAAGGAGAGCAAATCGATGGTGAGGAACGAGTGATGAGAATGGTGATTGATGGTGGAAGGGGGGAAAATTGATGATTGGAGAAAATGGAGAAAGAGGGTTTTGGATAGGAGAAGAATCAGGTGATGACCGGTGATGGAGATGGAGGTTGTTGATTGAAGAAAAAAATGGAGAAAGAGGATTATGGATGAAAGAAGAATCGTGCTTTCTTTCCTTTTTTTTTTTTTTACCATCCGTAGCCTCCTCTTTTTTTGTGTGGCTCTACCCTTTGAAGAGAAAGGAAAACTAGGGTTTTTTTGGGTTTGGGTTTTAATGGGCTGATTTGTGAAAGTGGATAGTGGGCTCAATATTTGGGTTTGGGTTAGATTGTTGGTTTTTCTTGGTGGATTTCACCCCCTAATTTTTACTTTCTTCACATACATCCCTTTCTTGAGTTCTTTTTCAAATTTCTTCATAAAATTTTCTTTTTTTGCATATAGCACCTGAAACAAAATAAAATATATGATAATCATATTAAATTTTAGTTATATTAATATAAAAATATAAATTTTTATTATTTATTTATTAAATTTAGTAAACTCTTTTTTACCGATTCGATTTACAATTCTGATTTTACCTAGTGAAAACGTTTTTAGGTGAAATCTCAATTTTGACAACCTTGCTTCTAACTCTTATGAAAAGGTGCAAAAATGCTCATTTAGTAGATTTCTTTAAACTTATGTAATTGGCAACTAGAAGAAAGTGGTTAATTTTTATTTATTCCACAAATTTATTAGCTTAATCTCAAATAAATGTAATCACTAAACTTTAATGGTCAAATAATAAGTTAGGTTTATGTGCACTAAATCAAACAGATCAGAATTAATTGATTAAAAATTGATTTTGAGAACTTTATTAGGAAAAACTTGAGAGTTTAATGGATAAAATTAAGGTTTTTTACTTATTAAATAACCTTTCCACATGTTTTTTCATTTCAAATCTAAAAAGATTAGTGATTCTTATGTCAAATTTCACTACAAGCAAATGTATCTATATTGATGGAAGTTTTCTGTCTGTAGAGATCCTTTTTCTGTCGGTATAGACCCTAGGAACTATTTCAATGGACAAACTTTCCGTGGGTAGAAACCTCGTCAGTATAAGGTCTATACTGACATCCAATTTGTCTGTATAGACCCTTGGATCTATTCTTATAGATGACTTGTCTGTTGGTATAGACCTTGAAAAATCTTAAGAGATTTTTCCATTGGTATATACCCTTATCTTTACAAACGGATAATTCCATTGGTAAAAATAACTATTTCCGTCAGTATAGATCCTTTTTTTTATTTTTTACAATTTGTAAATCCCTTTTATTTTATTATTTATTTTAGGTTTAAGTACCATTTTGGGTCCTCAACTTTTCACTTTGGTACCAAATTGTCCCTTACCTTTAAAAAGTACCAAAATTATCTTTAAACTTTCATTTTTGGTACCAAAACCGTCCTTTCGTCAGTTAAATGGACAGGTGGCACGTTAACTTGCCAGCAAATCAATTTTTTTTTTTTTACTTATTGCCTTGGCCCTTTTTTTTTTTGGTTTGGCTTTTTTTTTTCGTTATTTTAAAATTATTGATTTTTTTTTCCATCCATGTCATCGCTTTTTCCTCTTTCGCTTTCTCTCTCTTGTCGCTTCTTCTTCCTCTCCAAATCAAACCCAGATCTGTGTTTTTCTTAAACTTAGATGACTCCTTCGATGCCACTAAAATGCAACAAAAGAGAAACTAAATCATAGTCTAACAATAAAACCTCCATGTCATCTCTTCTTCCTCTTTCACTTTCTCTCTCTCTTGTCCCCTCCTCTTCCTCTCCAAATCAAACCCAGATCTGGGTTTTTCTCAAACCCAAATGACTCCTCTGACACCATTGAAATGTAACAAAGAGAAACTAAATCAGTGCCCAAAAAAAAACCTCAAATACATATTTGAATTTCATCAAACCAAGTCAACTCACATGGATGCAAATAAATCAAAAAGAAACAGTATCGAACCACCGGAGACTCGATATGTAGCAAACCAAAACCTAAAATGCCGGCAAAATCAACACAGAAACCAACGAGCACTGGTTTAAAGAGAACCAAAAATTCTAGTCCCAGTTCCATCAAGACAAAGAAAATAGCAAAATCAAGACCAAAAATCAACCACAAGAGTTTGAACAAATAGAACAAAAACCACGAGTTCCTGGGCACCCAACTATTCTCTTGTCATGGAAGGATTTGATGATTGCAGGAGCTTCCTTTGTGCCAAAAGGACCAACAAGATTGTTAAAATCTTCAAGAGTTTTCTGCCCCTGAAGTTCAGCTTCAAAGTCCTCACACTCGTGCCCTGTTCAAACCCAGATCTGGGTTTGTACTATATCTGAAAAACCCTTAAGTCTAACACCTCAATTCCAACCCCTTCCTTTGCCAACTTCCTTGCGCTTCACACTCTCCGTCATCCCCTACATTCCTGTCAACAACTCTATCAAAATAACTCCAAAACAATACACATCAAATTCGGTGCCGCTTTGGTTATTTCCCTCATCATCTCTTCCCTTTCTGCGCCTAATGTTTCCAATCTTGACGTCGGCGATGCGTGGGTCGAGATTATTAGATAGAAGGATGTTGGACAACATCTGTGACTGTGGGTGGTGTCGATGTGATGTAGGTAATTTATGTGTGAAACCCATATTTGAGTTTGAGAAAAACCCATTTCTGGGTTTGAAAGAAGATCTGGATTTTAGATGGCCGCAAAAGGCACACCAGGATCGCTTCACTCATGCTCTTCGTTTGCTGAGTGAACCATTCATTGGTGCCGAGGAAGAAGCCTGGGAAAGAAGAAGGGGTGAATGGATGAGAGAGACGAAGCGAGGAAGAAGAAGATGATAATATTAAATTATGTGGGTTTTTATTTAAATAAGAAAAAATTGCCACATGGAAAAAGAAAAATGCCATTTCATTAAGTTTATTTTTCACGTAATTATTATTTTTTTTTAAATGTGATTTTGTGGCAAGATAAAGTGCCACCTGTCATTTAACTGACGAAAGGATGGTTTTGGTACCGAAAATGAAAGTTTAAGGATAATTTTGGTACTTTTTAAAGGTGATGGATAATTTTGGTACCAAAGTGAAAAGTTGAGAGACCAAAATGGTACTTAAACCTTTATTTTATTTATTATTTTCTACTACACTTGTTTTTTAGTTGTATTGACAAAAACCATTTAACAAATCATATTTTTATTCATATATTGATTCATATATTGGAACACATAATACTCTAATCCATTTTGCAATACACAAAAAGCTAACTATGAACCCAAGCGACTCATCTTTCATGTTCTTTAGCAGAATATGCTTGTGAATAAAATAAAACCCTCTCTATCACTGAGCTGTATGCCTTAAACATTTCAATGAAGATAAGTGCCATAAGAAGTACAAATATTGGAGCTAGCCATGTTTTTTCTTCTTGCACAACAATCCACTGTCAACGCATTAGTTTTTATTAGTGAAACAAAGCGATTAATCACTAAATAGATGGAATACCTTAGTATGATTATCATCATTTGGTTCGGATATGTCATAAAGCAGAGAAGTTGACTGCAAAATTTAATGAAAATGCAAAAGGATCATCTAACCTGCAAATCAAAGAGAAAACTCAGACAATATTGAGTTTGTTGTTAACGCAAATTCCTAAAGAGAGCCTACATTGAACCATGCAAGGAAAATAATACATGCTCATTCCAGATTGCTAATCAGTACAATTTATGCCTAATGGTTGTTCATATAGCTGTTAACGCAAAAAGGTTAAATTTCAAATAGTTACACATTGGTAACTATAACTTAAAAAATTATAAAACTATATTTGGCTAAAGAATTTTCTAAAAATTCCTAAAAATTATTCTTTCCTTGATGAATTACAATACTTTTCTTCTTTGTTCTTTGTTCATGCAACAAAGAACACAGAAGAAAACTTAAAGCAGAATCAACTGTCTAAATCACTAGGCTTGCTGAAACCAAGGCAATTACGTAGTGAAATGTTTGGACTAAATATCAGTTATTGTGTTATTGGCTTATAAATTGTCATATCATTAGAAAAACCTTATGAGAATTGAAAACGAATCAATAAGTAATGTTGACTCAATGTAATCCAAGAGGGGGGTGAATTGGAGTTTGTAAAAATTTCACTTCTTTGCAACCACCACACAACAATGAATGAGAGAGTAGAGAAGAAGAGCTTGCACAATAAATGTATAAAGGTTCGGTCCAATCACTTGAAGTCTGGTCCAATCACTTGAAGTCTAGTCCTCTACCTTGGCTTCACTCACCAAGGATTTCCTCCACATTCTCCACTAAGAAGAACAAGGGTGGCTTAAAGGAGTCACTCAATCCTTTTACAAGAATATGGGTGTTTCTCTCACCAAGAACCTCAAAACCTAAGATTAAAGAAACTAACTATAATTGGAAAAAAGCATGAGCAACAAGAAGAATTTTATAAAAAAAACCAACCAACAGAGGACATCATATCAATAGCATTAAAGAAATTGTAATCGGAAAGAAAGAAAGAAAAAGAAGAAGCAATTACCAACAAAATTAAACTAGATCTGAATCAAGAACAAATCAGTTCCAAACTAAATTAGATTAGTTCTCGTAATAAATTAACTAGAATCTTCATATGGAAGAGGAAAGAATAATCAATATGGATTTCACAAGGTCAAATGATAAAAAATTTTCATATAATACATCAAATGTAGAGAATCTAAGTCTTACTTATCTGGGTTCCCAACTTTTTGTACATCTGATCTTAGCCATCTAAATTGCAAAGCACATAGGATTAGCAAAATAATAAACATTAGAGGAAGTTCATATCTAGAAAAGAAAACTATCACATAATTGCATACCTATTACTAAACATATCTAATGAGCCAATAATCATAAATTGAGCATTGTTTCTAGCCTACATTATGTAAAAGCATCACTATATTTTACGCTAAAAAGGATTCAGTTGCTAGCAATTGTTTAAAATTGAATCAAATATCAACATGTGCTTCAAAGAATCTAAATGGCCTTTCAAAAGATTCTAAGGCAACTAACTTTTAACCAAATGGGTATCAAAGAGCAAAACTTGCATTCACTATTAAAGGCATCAATAAAACACAAACTTGAAAGATTTAGAGAGAATTATAATACCTGCAGGACAGAGACTATTGAAATAACTGATCTAATAAGGAGTGGAGGATTTGATAATTTGTAACTTGGGTTTGCAGAATATGCTAAAGGACATGCAGAAAGCACCTTCTAAACGTTAGAATGATATCATAAACCACAAGATAAAAAAAGCATTAACATAGAGCTAGACAAAAAGAACAATCAAAGAAGTATAAATCTTCACTTTGAAAAAGAAAGAAATACATTTTTTATAGTACCAAGCTATTGGCTGAATTTATTAAATGCCCAGTCCCTTTGAAAAGCATTGGAACCTGAAATATAAGCAATGCAATTTTCACTTTGTATTAAGTTTGAAGACTAGAGCTAATTATTTAAATATCAATGTAATCTATTTTTGAAGTACAATGCAAATGTACATATCAAGAAAAAGGTTACCTTGATTTTACTTTTTCCTAAAATCACATCAGATTGAATGAAATTATCACTGAAAATTAGTGTCTGGTCAGTATCAATGTGTGAATGGCATAACTTTTGTGATCAATAACCATAGCCATTGGATACTATACAATGTAATAACAAATATGCGTCAAAGAAGAAATCCAGCAAAATTAATAAAAGGAAACAAATTCCTGCAAAACAAAATTGACCTCATTGAAATTGGCTCTACATTTGGCAGTAATGTTTCTGATCAAATCAAATGCCGATGCATCTGCTGCAACAATCAAGTCATGACTAGAGTCAACGAAGTCAAGCATCGCCTCCAAATCCAAAGATCCACCAAAACCTATCATGAAAAACAAGAAAAAGAAAAAACCATGAGTAGATATACTAAATCATTGACAAGCAAAATGCAGAATCATACTAAATTTATGTTTGGGAGCTAGAGAGAAAAAGCTAAAAACTGAACAAACAAAGTAAAACATTTCCTGGCCAAGAAATTAATAATTATGCTTAAATTCCAAAAACTTCTGATCCGAACAGGGAAAGAAAGAAATTCACACCTTGTCATCAAGGAAAACGAGGAGATGATCGGGAACTATTTTGAGTTTCTCGTAAATCGGATTGACGATGATGGCGATAGCACCGTCAACAGTACTGATAGTCAATCTCAAAGGCCTTGAGTTCTGCTTCATGTACTTGTATAGATTTGACATGCACACCAGCGCTTGAATCGCCGCCATCCTTATGAATCCTAGTTGCTTCAATTTCAATCTTTCTCCTCAACAACCTCCAACTGCAACAAAAAAAAAAAAAATAGAGCAACACGGCCTCAACTTCCAGTTTTAAGAGTATTGATTAAATCATAAAGACAGATCATAAAAAAAAATAAAATAAAAGATTATGAATTTGTGACCTTTTCCATTGCTAAATCGGTAATGTTTGGATTTAGCCTCTTGATTTTAGAGAACACAGTGAGCGAATAGCAGGACGGAGAAAGGGAAAGGATAAGAGAAAGGAGAGAAATGGGAAATGAATTTTGGCGAGGGTTGGAGTGAACTAGGATTGGGAGAGGGAAATATTTAGGTTTAACTGCAAAGGGAAAGTCAGAATGTAGGGAGGGAAAATTGGGAATATGTGGGGGGAAGTGAAAATAAGTACCATTGGTTGAAATTAAAAAGGAAAAAATTGGGTTTATACAAATGGAAGATGATTTTCATTAGAATATATATCTCTATACAGATGGATAACGAGTTTTCTGTTTGTATAAACCTAACCTATACTAATGGATATAGTTTTTCGTTTGTACAAACCTAGCCTATACTAATGGATGTATTTTTTTCATTGGTATAAATTGGTCTATATTGATTGCTTAAGTTTTATGTTGGTATATATGGTCTATACAGACAGATTTCTGTCCGTTGGTATAGACTTTTGTTAGTATAGGGTATTTTGCTTGTAGTATTTAAAAGAAAAATGTTTTTACTACTTTAGATTTGACTTTTTTTTCTCTTTTTCATCTTAGATCCAAAGGTGATAGTTTTTCCTTTTTAAGTTATATAAAGATGATTACATTTTTTTTTCTCAACTATAGTTGGTTTTTCTTTTTCAAATTTGAAGGTCAATTGTTTTCCCATCCTAGATATGAAAGAAATGATTTTCGCAACCTTAGATTTAGAGGTGGTTGACCATTTGTGAGGTGGAAAATGAGAGAAGTATGTGATTAGATCTTCTTAATATTCTAAAAGGAAACTATGATAAAGTATAAATGTAGACGAGTGAGATAAAGAGAGAAGCAATTATTAGTGGATAGAAATTGAGTTAGAAATTGAATGAAAAATTTCCACAAAAAGGAAGAAAATTGGCTTACATAAAAATTTTAGTGATAAGAGAAAGCTTTGAATTTTACTGGTGAAGGTAATTTAAATGACCCTACTAAAATCTGTTATTGACCTAGCAGCTTTTTATGTTAAAGTTTACAACTTTTAAAAGTTTAAACTTAAATTATTAGTAATGGTTGATCATTTATATATCAAACTCACTCACACCTCTCCACTGATGTAAGATTCGAGATGTCACAATCTCTACAGCTTAAACACTTGATGTCTTTATCAAACCCACAATCAAAACTAGACCCATGGATGACTACTTTGATAACAACTAAAATGACTCAAGTTAGAAGCCCGTCGTTAACCTAACAACTTTTTTATGCAAAATCCGTAGGCCCTTAAAAGTTCAAGTTCAAGTTGTTAGTGGGTTTTTGGTACAACTGTGACAAAACTAGAAATTAAATCAAGAGAAAAGCTATGCCCATTCATCACCAAGTAAGATGTGACACAGCCCAAGAGGTAGCTCATGTAGGATGACGGTTTTTATAGAAGCCATGTGACCTATGAAAGCTAAAAATCAATAGTTGTGTTGTGTTTATAGAGTGTATGATCTACAGAATAATATGAAAAAGTTTGCAAGTGGGCTATGATATCCATCACAAGAGAACCTGTTAGGCCTTTTATATCCTTGTCCCTTGTTATGAGTTGAATTGCAATCACCAAATCTAGGTTGACCACCAATTAGGATATACCCATAGTCAAATAGAGGCTAAGACCCTTTTTTTGCCTCACAGCCCAACCATTAAGCTTGATGTGTGTCCAATATTAATCATGAAATCAATCACTCACTTACCACTTGAATCCCTCACTAGCCCTCTAGTTTTGGCCAAGTTTTGGCCAAGCCCATAGCATATGAGAGAGACCCATCCATGTATAACTTATACAACCCTTCAGATGGTGGCTTCCATGAAACCCATCTTAATTCCCAATGGCACACACTAGTTTTATGCACCTATGCCAACAAAGTATAACAAGAGTGCTGTAAAATATTGAAATAGATTATGTGAGGAAAAGTTTGAGAATGCTCCAAGACTAGCTTATTTTTGTCTTTCAAAAGGAAACATAACATTAAGAGGAACACCATAGCCCATAGTATTTGCCAATCACCATATATAACACTTTTTGAAGTTGACTGTTGACGTTGAATGTTGAATATAATGAACAAGATTCAAAGTAAGAAACTTTGGATCCTTTACTCCTAATGTAGCACATACTAATGAAAATCTCTAAAATATGTAAGGGGGTGTCCATAGCCAAATTACAACAAGGGCAAGCATAGGAATTAGTGAGGGAATAGTTAAATCTTTGTAGATTTGTAAAGTGTTTACCCCTAAATACCAACCACATGAACATCCTTATCCTTTCCACAATTGGCAAATGCCACACCTAGTAATAGTTAAACCAAAAGGATTCTATATGGTGCTTACTATGTTGAATGAGTGAAAAAGTTGATTTTGTGGTGAACCTTCCATCTGGTGTTCCTACCTAAAAGATCAAGTCCATTACTTCAACTTGCGTGGCTATTGAAACTACTTTGATTTTATTAACTACATCAATTGAGAAGAGATCGGATAACAGATCTACCTTTTCTTCCTAAGTTGGTGAGATGGCTATAAACGCTGTCCACTTTAAGGACTCTTCAATAAGAGGCCCAATCATGCATGTTCACAGGGATTGATCTCCTGCCCAAGTACCATTCGAAAGACTTATGCCTTCTTCTTTTCCAACACACCATTGCTGTCCCAATCATATCACATCTTAGTATCTTAAGATACTTCTCCATGTTGTTGAAGATGAAGATGAACGTTACGCAACAATGGTTGTTTTCTTAGGTACTTGGAATTGAGAACTCTACACCATCGTGCTTTATCTTGAGTAAGAATCCACCAACCTAGTTTGGAAACAAGAGCTCTATTATTGTCCTAAGCTAATCAAAGACCTAAACCTCCATTTTCCTTGCTTGAGCAAACTGTATTCTAGTCTACTAGATGTGGTTTCTTGGTTTCAGAGTCTAACCCCTAGAGAAATTGTCTTTTCAATGTATTTATGATATCAAACATAGCCTTTGGAAGTAAGATAGTTTGCACGGTATAGCACAAGATTGTAGTTGTCATCAATTGGATGAGTGTTCTTTTATTAGCCAAACTAAGTAATGATCTCTTCCACCCTATAAATTTTGCTTGTATTTTTTTTTTCAAAAATAAAGTAATAATTAGCTTTGATCACGCTCTTGTGCAAAACGAGTCACCCAAATATTTATCTAGGTTAGCTAATAGAGGAGTGTTACATTTAGAACTTAAATTATTAGTAGTAGTTAATCATTTATATATCAAATTCACTCACACTTCCCCATTGATGTGAGATTCAAGGTGTCACAGTAATTATTAATCCTTTTTTTCTTTTAATAATTGTTTTTTATTGACATAAACAATACACTTACTATATTTAAAATTTTAAATTAAAAAAAATCCACACATTATCTCTATGGACTCAAGTAGTTATCTATTGATCTTAGTAAATATTCTTGATTGACAAAAACAATACACTTGACATGTTGTCCATTTTAGATATGAAAATATTACTTCTTCTTTTACTAAATTTGAAGGGATTAGATTACTTTTCATAAATATGAAAGAAATGAGTTTACTAATATTAGATCTAGAAGGATGAGTGTATCTGTGAAAAATTAAAAAAAGGTGGAAATTTTAAGAAAGGATTTTGTTTAGGATTGATGTTTACCAAAAAGGATAATAAGAAAAAAAGAGAAATGAAAAAAAAAAATAGAGGATGATTCTATGTTAAGAATCTCTAAAAACAATATGCTTTGAAATATAAAATCTAGACAAGTAAGATAAAATGAGAAAATAGGGTGGAAAGAAAAGTAACTACAAGATAAAAAGTTGGCTTAATATAATAATTGATATAAGGAAATGAAATTTTGAATTGTTTTGCTTAAGGTAAATATTAGAATTAATTATTTTTTTATCTATATGCATTTTAACTTTCTCATTGTGTTGTTTATAATGTTCGCTAAAAAAATAATTTTTGTTTCATATCATATATTGTAAAGTTTTCTTTTGCAAATGATGAAGTAAAGATAAAGAATCACACTACATAGTTTTAGAAACATTAATGTAATGTCATTTTTAAAAGCAATTTATTGTGCTTTATAATCTATTCTTTTTTATTTTCCTACCTCTATCAAATCCTAAAATGACAAAGGATCTTTGTAGACTAAAATAACATGATAAATTATTTTAAAAAACAATCATTTTATTAAACCAAATATAAACGGTACTTTTAACCCATAAACAATAAAAAAAAAACACTTCAATTATGCAAATATATTAAGTATTAAAATAGAACCATTAAAAGAATAGAAAATTGCTTGCTATCATCATCACAATTTTCCCAAAATAATATGAGTAATTACGAAAATGTTACAATTACAATGCCACATGGTATTCAAAGCTTACAACATGATGTCTTGTTATATAACTAGTTTTCAAAAACTCATCCGTGATATAATATATATCTATTTATCTAATATCGTATCATCATTGTAAACTTATAATCTTATATGATATTGCAATTATAGCATTGCTAAATTAATTAAGGATTCATAACTTGTGTCCCAAAACCTCATTATCATGCATCAAAGATAAGGACAAACTAACATTTTTAGTTTACATATTCTACTCAATACAACATTCTCCCTGGCTCTCTGACAAAACAACCATGATAGTTATGTTACCTTGACTACTCATTGTTAAAGCAAGCTTACATAGTGTAAATGTTGCTAAATTAGTTTTAGTAGGAAATGTTGTCACATCCCTTTCATCAATTATTGGGTGCCTATCATTACAAAATTTAAAAGTAGGAAGTTGACTTTCATCCCTCAGACATGAGCTAACTATCTTACAAGCTCAACCATCTAACATTAGATTTCATAAGTCATCTAGAGCAAAAATAAAGAGCTCGTCATCAACTTTTCTTTCTGTATTGGTAATCTCAGGTTTGGATATTATAATTTGTTTCCAAAAATGATCCTTTTTTGTCAAAGAAGTCAATATTAAAACTGAATAATTACTTTGTCCAATATATATTGATAATAAAGAAATTAATAATAAAATTCATATATCAATGACTTCATTTAAAAAAGAATAATTAGTTTATTTCTTATGATATATAAAAAAAAAAATGAGAAGGAAAAGAGAAACTTCTTGGAAAAATAGTCATATGTAGTTATCCTATGATTGTGAAAACAATTTTATTTTTTATTTCCTTTTGCTTTTAACTTGTAAATCAACCTTCGGAAACAAACAAGTATTATATGTATGAAGTGATTTATAAATAGGTGTTGTTATCAAGAAATGAGGTAAATGACTCAATTAAGGATCACCTATAATTAGTGATTTATCACTCCATTGTTCTTTTCTTTATCAATAAGTGATGTTGTTAGCAAGAAATGAAGTAAATAGCTCAACCAAGGGCCACCTATAAGGGCCACCTATAAGTAGTGATTTATCCTTCCATTGTTTTTCTCTTTATAAATAAGTGATGTTTTTAGTAAAAAATTAGGTAAATGACTTAAACAAACTTAGAATTAGTGATTTATTATGCCATTATTCTTCTCTTTATAAATATGTGACATTATAAGCAATAAATGAGGTAAATGGCTCAACCAAGAACCACTTGTAATTAGTGATTTATCACTTCATTGTTCTTTTTTTTTTTTTTTATAAATAAATGATGTGATTAGCAAGAAATAAAATAAATGGTTTAACTAAGGGTTACTTGTGATTAGTGATTTATTACTTCATTGTTCTAAGAACATAACAAAGTTTTCAACAAAAACTACTTTTACAACATCTATACAAGTATGTTGCTATAGTACAAGGAAGTCATAATAATATCATAATCATTGTTGGTGATTTGAAAAGAGATTGAGGGCAAAGGCAACTTCTTCCCTTGTATGTAAATGAAATTAAACACCACAATTTTCATACTTAACTAAGATTGCATAAAAATACCAAATAGAACAACAAAATTTTGGTAGTCATAGAAGCAAATTATAAAGGGATAAAAAATCCAAAGAAACTTTTTAGCAAAATTTGAAGACAATCCACTAATCATGTAACTTGGATTGCTTGGATATAAAATTTATAAAATGTAACAAACTCTAAGTTAATTAAACAATCATTAGGCCAAGCATAATTACATGTCCACAAAGCCATTTCCAAATACAAAAGTTTGTCTTCTTGGCAACAAGAAGATGATCAAATCCTATTGGTTAAAAATCTATAACCTTAATTAAATAAAGAAAACATCAATAAGATTAGCTATTGCACCAGTCATATTGAGAATACCATTGACTTGAAACCCGTCCCTATTTATAAGCTTGCTCCTAATAGTATAGATCCTTTCTAACTCATCTTGCCTTGCTAGCTACACTTATGTAGCAAGGTAAAAAAAAAAATTTAACAATTAGGCAATTCAAAAAGAAAGGAAATGAAAAAGAAAATTTGAAAAAAAAGGGCCCAAATAATAATAAGCCAATAAATTTTAAAAGAGAAAAGTAAGAACATAGAAAAAAAATAAAATACTATAGAAAGCCTATATATTAATTTTTTATTTTTAGATTTTGTTGGAAAATAACTTTTTTCTAATGAAACTATAGATAACAAGGATTACTAAAATACCAAATGAGACCTTTACCAACCACCAAAGTGGAAAAATGTCTTGATAAAATAAAAAAAATTATGATCGTGAGATAGTGAAAATGCTTTTCCACCATGACACAAAATAGCATGTAAGACACCATTGTTGGCGATAATAATATAATGCAATGAAGAGCATCGAAGGGACTCAATCAGAGAAATGGAAAGTTGAAGGTGTAAAATGCATTGAAGTTAAAACCCACAATTACCCAAAACCCAAAACCCACAATT